GGGCAGGGGCTGGGAATGGGGCAGGGAGCCTGAGGGGACATCGGAGGCTTGCAGAGCAGTCTCCCCAGTCCAGCAGCAAGGACTAACCAGCCACAATAAGAAGGAACCCACAGAAACTATTGAGGCATCGGCCTCCAGCCTCCTCAGATGCGAACACAAGCTGTGGGCTGGAAGGCGGGCAGGGGTCCTCGGAGAACATGAGACACTCACTTGATAGAGTTGATGGCCAGCTGTTTGAGGGTCCTCAGGTCAGCCTTCATGCCCCCAATGCCCATGAAGACCTCATAGAAATCGTAGGACAAGCCTTTGGCACCAAAGATCGCTGGGTCATCAGAGCTGATCACCATGGGGTGCCCGATGGCCATCAGAGTAGCTGCAGGATGGTTTCTCAAATCAGACACCAGTTTCAGAACCTGCCCAGTAGGAGGCAAGGGAGAAAGATGAACTCTGATCCCTAAAAAGAGTAGTAACAGGTGAAATGAGACCTGGAGCCCCCATCAGCTCCCTTCATCTCCCCATCACTATCTCCCCAATATGGGGATGACTTCTGGGCAGTCACAAGGAGAACAGGGCCAGTCCCCATGCGTCTCTTCCTGTTTCATCAGCACCACAAATATTCAGTCACTTCTGGTCCTGCTCAGAGAAGCGCTAACTGAACACAGACACAAAAGACCCCAGGAAGCACTGGCCGCCCCCTGTGTCCTTTTTGCTCTGTCCGCAGTTTTGCCCAAAATTCCACCCAACTGGGGACGCTCATGGCTGCTACATTCTTACTGGTGGCTTAAGCAAAAGGCCCCTCCTGAATAACTTTACTAACAGGAGGGAGAGTGGAGAGATTTTGGTAACAAGAGAGTTAAGGAGAAAAAAGTTATACTGGAAAAAGTTTAAGAAGGCAGAGGCTGCGGTTAGGGGAGATCACATGGGATCAGCCGCATGAGTCACACATACCTGGTTAGAGATGGGACAGACTTCTATGGGGATGTCCTTTTTCTGCGAGTAAGCCCTGAGGGCGGGGTGTTTGCTCAAAGCAAATCCATGTCCGATTCTGGTAGTGTTTAGCATCAAAGCATCCAGAATGTTCTTGTCTATGGAAGTGCCCTGCCAGTCTGAAGACAGGGGAATGGTCTTCTATGGGGCACGGATGGGTCTGACGCCCTAGAACATCCTCAAATAAACAGCCCCCCAAGCACGCAAATGAAATTAACACAAATACACACACACACAGTTTCCTTTTAACAATGCTAAAGAGAGGTATGATACGGCTTTATTAATCATCTAATTTATTAATTTATCATTCTAATGAGGAAGTTGAAACTTAATAGCTTTTATGAGTTGACCAAGGATATTCACCTAGTAAGTAGCAAAACCGAGTTTTAAACCTTGGTCTCTCTGACCTCACAGTCCACTTTTTTTTTTTTTTTTTTAAAGTCTTGCTCTCTATCGCCCAGGCTGGAGTGCAATGGCATGATCTCGGCTCACTGCAACCTCCACCTCCCAGGTTCAAGCGATTCTCCTGCCTCAGCTTCCCTAGAAGCTGGGATGACAGATGCCCACCACCACACCCAGCTATTTTCTGTATTTTTAGTAGGGACGGAGTTTCACCATGTTGGCCAGGCTGGCCTCAAACTCCTGACCTCAGGCGATCCACCCACCTTGGCCTCCCAAAGTGGTGGGATTACAGACGTGAGCCACCACGCCCGGCTTTGGGACTCTTATCTTTGTAATCTTTACAGTAAGGTGTTACAAGGTTCTCTTATTTACAACCTCAGTATAAGTACCTGTATGTGCTCACTTTAAGTATTTAATGGTACTGTCAAGACGTTATCACGCGCTAGGTGACCGTAGACATTCTTGTGGCCTCCTCCCTTGCTGTCCCCATCATACCTTTCTTGCAGCGGAGGCCCTCAGTAGAGGGTGAAAGGTCGGATGTGGCTTTCCCAGACTCCCTTACAGCTAAAATAGCCTTAACACTGGCCTGGGAGGTCATTTGTTGGGGAGCTTTGGGGGATTCTTCCCTGATAAAAGGAGATGCACTGAGGGGCTGTCTCCTATTTTATTTCACTGCATATGGTCACCCCAAATGTGATTCACCATCTGACGACCAAGTGGGGCAGAATCACCCACACAATGGGCATAGTAGAGATTAAATGTCCTTATTGTAAAATCTGTGGGATGCATTCTTGCAGCCATAAGCATTCTAATGGATTCACATATAAAATATGAAAATTTGGCCAGGCATGGTGGCTCACACCTGTAATCCAAGCACTTTGGAGGCCAAGGCGGGCGGATCACCTGAGGTCGGGAGTTCAAGACCAACCTGACCAACATGGTGAAACCCTGTCTTAAAAAAAATAAATAAATAAAAGAATATAAAATTTGTGTAGGTACAGTGGCTCACACCTGTAATGCCAGCATTTTGGGAGGCTCAGGCAGGAGGATCGCTTGAGCCCAAGAGTTCAAGACCAGTCTGGGCAACATAGAGAGACCCTGTCTCTACAAAAATTATGGCCAGGCGCAGGTGGCCAGTAATCCCAGCACTTTGGGAGGCCAAGGCGGGCAGATCATGAGGTCAGGAGTTCGAGACCAGCCTGGCCAATATGGTGAAACCCCATCTCTACTAAAAATACAAAACATTAGCCAGGTGTGGTGGCACATGCCTGTAGTCCCAGCTACGCAGGAGGCTGAGGCAGGAGAAATGCTTGAACCCAGGAGGCGGAGGTGGCAGTGAGCCAAGATCGTGCCACTACACTCCAGTCTGGACGACAGAGTGAGACTCCACCTCAAAAAAGGAAAAAAAGAAGTAGAAAAATTAGCCAGGCATGGTGGTGTGTAGTAGCCCCAGCTACTTGGGAGGCTGAGGTGGAAGGATCACCTGAACCCAGGAGGTGGATGGAGGCTGTCGCGAGCCGTGGTCATGCCACTGCACTCTAGCCTGAGTGACGGAGTGAGACCCTGTCTCAAAATATATATATGAACATTCCACTTTTCTGGTAGAAATAAAACTCAAGAATTTCCATCGCTACCTAGCACATATATTTTGGTGAATTTTCACTGTTTTTTAATTTTTTTTTTTTTAAAGACGGGGTTTCACCATGTTGGTCAGGCTGGTCTTGAACTCGCGACCTCAGGTGATCCGCCCGCCTTGGCCTCCAAAGTGCTTGGATTACAGGTGTGAGCCACCACGCCCGGCCTCACTGTTTTTTAAAGATTTCTTCTTCTTTTTAAAAATTAGGACAATTACTTTTAGGTATTAAATACCCAAGTCCTAGCAAAGTTATCTCCAAAGACCATACAACTTGGAACTTGTTAGGTCCTGTGTTGCAAAGTTTTGTACTTCGAGAATTATTTCACACATGTATGATTTTCCCCAACTAGACCACAAGCTCTTCAAGGTTAACAACCCCCTCCCCTTCAAATAATTCTTCTGCTCTCCTAGAGCAGACTTTGATCTAAATTGGATCTAAATTGACTGGAAATGTCAGGGAAAAGAGATTAATGCACAGGGTCCCTTGCTCTAGAGATGGTATGATAAAGCAGAGCCGAAGTCTGGGTGGGAGACGAAGCTGCCCACCATTCTCCCCACCCCTCCTTGGTTTTCTGAGGGTGACAGGTGGGATGCCACAGAGAACTGCCCTCCTGGTCCCAGCCTCCATGTAAATAGCCTCCCCCGAGGGCTGAGCGCGGTGGCTCACGCCCGTAATCCCAGCACTTTGGGAGGCCGAGGTGGGCGGATCACCTGAGGTCAGGAGTTCAAGACCAGCCTGGCCAACATGGTGAAACCCTGTCTCTATTAAAAAAAACAAAACAGGCCGGGTGCGGTGGCTCAAGCCTGTAATCCCAGCACTTTGGGAGGCC